CCTGACTCTAGGCTTTCTGGTGCCCTTCCTTTGCTCTGGAGCTGAGGTCTCCCAGCTGTGACATGCATGTTCTAGATCTGACAGTCTATGATTCAGAGGGTTGGGGGTAGGAATTGGTGGAGACAACCACCAGTGTCACGCTCCTCATTTCCTCTGCTGGACTCTTTCCACTGCCACCATCACTCGGCAACCTCTCTTCCTCTGAGGATCGCACCAGACAAACTTGGAATCCAGTCTGGGTTCTGGAGTGGTTATCTACTGGCTCCGAGGGTGTTCCCCTCTCTTCTCAATGAGGTCGGTGCCTGGCTCACAGCCTCTGTCCACCCTTCCTATGGTGTTTGATGTCCTGACTTCCTCCTTCCTCAATCAACTAAGCCTTGGGTCACCGGTTACCTCTTCCATTGTCCATAAGGGACCCTGGATCTGGCCACTGCCCATAAGCGTTCTACTTCCAGCTTCCAGAACTCCCTAATTCCTTCATATGATCATCATCTTTCTTCTTTCTAGCTCTCCCCATGCCTTCCTCCTCCTCAGTCTCCTCTTTGTCCTCATCCTCCCTTCTAATCCCTCTGTGCTCCGCGACTGCCTCAAGCCATCTTCCTCGCTCTGGCTTTGCTCCCCCTCCATCCCCATCCCCATTTCTAGACGACAGCGTGGTGTAGCATGAGCAATGTCTAAAGTTGGAAGACCTGGGTTTGAATTCCAGCTCTGCAACTTATTTTCTGTGTGACTTTGCTCATGTCGATTAGCCTCTCTGGGCCTCAGTTTCCCTATCTGTAAAATGGAAGGCTTAAAGAAATATCAGCAACATTGTGTGATGATCAACTGTGAATGACTCAGCTCTTCTCAGCAACCCAGTGTTCTAAGACAAGTACAAAGGACTCACGAAGAAAAATGCCATCCACATCCAGATAAAGAACTGATGGACTCAATGCAGATTGAAATGTATTTTTTTCACTTACTTTATCCTTTTTTGTGTTTTTTTCCCCCTTTTGATCTGTTTCTTCTTTCACAACTGTGACTAATACAGAAATATGTCTTACATGATGGCACATGTATAATCTATATCGAATTGCCTACCATTTTAGGACGAGGGCAGGGGAGGGAGCGAAGGGAGGGAGAGAAGGAGAAAAACTTGGAACTCCAAATCCTGTAAAAGTCAATGCTAAAAATTGTCTTGACATGTAATTGGGGAAAAAAAACTATTTTAAAATGGAGGGTTTACACTAGATGACCTCTGATATCCCTCCCAGATTTAAATTCAGGAACCTTTGGTACTAGAGTCATTGAAGATGGTTGGGCAGGGTCGGGGTGAGGTGGGACTTTCAGGCCCAACCCTGCCCAGCCTCCAGCACATTATGTGAAGTTGGTTGGTTTGGGGGAAAAGCACTAGTCTGGGAACCATGAGATTGGTCTCTGCCCCTTTCGGTACGTTGTATAACCTCTCCAGGCCTGTTTTCTCATCTGAAAAATGGTGCTGACCTGTACCTTGATCTTTGCTCCTAGATTCTACTATTATGCACGTGTGTGTGTGTGTGTGTGTGTCTGTGAGAGAGACAGAGACAGAGATATAGAGACAGAGAGACAGAGACAGAGAATACAGGGGGACACTCTGAGTAGGTGGAAGACACAATCCAGCCCCTGAAGCTGGCTGACCCTGAGTGAGTCACTATATTTCTCTGGCCCTCAGTTTCTCTATGTATGAAATGCAAGTTGAACTAGATTACCACAAAGAGCCTCCCAACTTTGACATTCTGGGTTCCAAGAGCCCTCCCAGCTCTCTAACATTATGTTCTAAGGTCCCTCCTAGTTCTGAGTTCTATGATTCTGGGGTGGGGAATGGTGGGGATAACCATCAGCAGAGTCTCAATAATATCCCCCCCAAGATCAGATACTTCTTGACCTGGTGGGGTTCATGTCCTCTCTGCTCCTCCCTCCCCGCCTCCATGGATGACCCCTCCTACAGAAAGGGGGTCAAGGAATAACTGCTATCAGCCAGGTGGGGACTTTCAGTCTCCCACCCTATGGGGATTTGGCAGGATTTCTCCCGGGGAACGCCCAAATCCTCTCCCTCTGAGTGTAGGAGAGGGACCTGGGACTGTCAGCCTTCTGCCACATCCCTGAAGCACACACAATTCCAGCCTCATGCTTGAAGGAACTGGGGACAGTTAGCCTGGACAAGGAGGAGGCTGGGGGTGCAGCGGGGGGTGTGTGGCAGCGTATGAAGGGCTTGGATTAGAAGTAATGGGAGAAAGCTGCAGAAGAGGCAGCTTTCATCTCAGTGAAAGGTGACATTTCTTATCTGTTGAGAGCTGCCCCAATGTGGAATGGATGGCCCATGGAGCGTTCCTGGGCTGGCAGTGTCGTCTGGTCTCCCCCCCAACTCACCCTGCTCTTCCGGTGATTCTGCTCCCATCCCCCTGGGGCCGAGTGGCTGGCCAGCCTCCCTGAGGCTCTGTGACTGGCCAGCACAGGCCTGGGGCTAGGGCTTTTCTACAGCTTCAACCAATACAAGGTCATTGTTATTCACCAAGAGCTAGACAAGCCCCGGGCTCCCTCAGCCAAAGCCTTGGAGTCTGAAAGGGTTTCTGGGCCAGGAGCCAGGGGCCAGGGCGCGATGAGAGGGAAGGAGGGAGGGAGGCTTAGGGCAGCTCTCAGAGCTAGAGCCCCAGTGAAAAGAAACCAAGGCCTCAAGAATTCCACTTTGGCCTTTCAGCAGCTTCCCCTTTGTCTGCGGGGGTTAGACATATCCCCTCTGTGGGCATACAGGGCAAACCCACTGGCCTTGGGCTGACTCAGAGCAGGAGCGGAGAGACAGGTCTGAAGGGGTCTATTGTAGAGACGCTGTGGGTTGGGGGTGGGGGGAGGTGGGGGAGAGGGGAGGGGAATCCAAGGGAGGGAGAAGTCGGAGGACAGAGGGAGAGAGGAAGACAGACACAGACACAGAAACATATGGAAAGAAAAGGAGACAGCGAGGGAGATATATGTATGCGCATGTGTTTATGTACATATATACACACAGATATGGTGCATATATACACACACACATACTTTGAGAGAGAGAGAGAGAGATACTGTATTTTAATACAATGAAATCATGCTCAGGCTTTGGGGCTGGGTCTCTCTGTGAGGGCCATTGGCCCTGTTTGGTCTCATCTTTGGGTGCCCAGTAAACGTTTGCAGATGTCAGAGAGTGTGAGGCTGCAATACTGCTTGAAGGCAGGGATTGTATGAGGCAGGAGCTCAGAATGCCTTCCCAGCGGGGCAGGGCGCTGGGTAAATGGGCAGCGGGTAAGGGCGGAGACCTTTGCTCTTGCTGTCAGGGTTCTTTCTTTCCACCATAGAGTCTGTCTGTTTCTGGACCTGTCTGCCAAGAAGGGGGCTTGGCTCATCTGGGCTCTAACTTGACCAAACCCCAAAAGGTATTGGCAGGCCAACGCCCCATCTCCCCTGTGCCTCTCCCAATCCCAAACATTGTGGACCCGATGGGGTGAGCACACAGAAGTTTGATCGATACTCTTGACTACTCGAAAGCCATTCACAGCTCCCGAGTCTAGCCCAGCCCAGCGTGACCCTGCCCTTCCCTTCCTGCAAGTCATACATCCTATGGAGCAACAGAAGTTACGGGAGGGCTGGCCTTGAACTCAAAAAGCCTCAGAATGGCTCTTACTAGCTGTGTATCCCTGGGCAAGGCTCTGTGCCATCTTGGGCCTCAGTGCCCTCATTTTTAAAATGGGGATGACAATCTCACTTGCCCCGTTTCTCTCTTTCCACTCGCTGCCCCTGCGCTGGTTCTCCCCTGGAGTATCAGAAGAGCCTCCAGACTGGTCCCCCTGCTTCGTGGCTCCCTCTCTGACCCTTCCTTCAGGAGGCTGCCCCAACCATTCTTCGGAGGCACCGCTCATCCCCGCCCTCATGTCTCCAGGATAAAATACAAACTTCTCAGCCTGGCACAGGAAGCCTTTCACAACTTGGCTCCGATGTAGTCTTCCGGCCTTATTTCACATTATTTACCACCCCACTCCCCATGATTGTTTTTCCTCAAAGTCTACATTCAAAGCAACCTGGATCAAACGCTCCCCCAACTTGACTGCAACCTTCCGTCTCACTATAGTCTCTGTCCATTCCCCTTCAAGGCTCAGCCCAGCCATTGGGCCATCCATGAAACCATCCCTGATCCCGGCTCCTTCCTCAACTTACCGTGTGTGTGTGTGTGTGTGTGTGTGTGTGTGTGTGTGTGTGTGTGTGTGTGCGCGCACCCGCATCCCCACCCCCTCAGTAGAACATAAACTCCTTGGGGGCAGGACTGCTTTGTTCTGGATCTCCTGGGCTATCACATAGGAGGTGCTTTATAAAGTCGATTTACCAAGCCCTATTGGTTTCCCTTCCTCCCCCACAAGGTGGTGAAGAAAATGCTTTGTAACAAGGAGCAATGGGAGCCTGCATCCTCACTACCCTCTTCTTCCTCAGGGTCTCCACTTGACCAGGGCTCCTGGGGGCCGAGGACCAGTCCTACCACCAGAATGGCCTCCCTGCTTCTCCTCTCCCTCACTGCCATTGAAAGGCTGGGACTTCTCTCTGTGAGGGGGAGGAGCTAGCTCTCTAGCTGGCCCCAGTGCTATCCTTCCTGGGGCCCAGCTCTCCAGCCAAAGGCTCCCCCTGCCCAAATAGCCAGGCCTGCCAATCAAGTTTGTAGATCCCCACAGGCCAGGGGGAGGAAGGTGTGGGCTGGAGAGATCAGACTCGGGAGTCAGGAACCCTGGATATGAGCTCAGCTCTGTTGCTTATGAACCTACCTGGGTGGCCTTGGGAAAATTCACTTCCCCTCTCTGGGCCTCGGTCTCCCCATCTGTAAGATGGGGTGTTGAGAGCAACATCCGTGTTCATAAGATGCAAGGAGCTTGAAAAACCCTAATCCCGGATTCCTTCCATTCCTTGGCTGCCCCTCACGGCCCCACCCTGGCAGTTTCCATAACAAAGGAGGCTCCTGTAGACCCGACTTTCAGACAATCTTCCTTTAATACAAAGTCGATATATCTACATACACAGTGGCAGGAAAACCACTTACAGTTTCAGTTTGAAGTAACAGTGGGAAAACGGATAGTGTCTCTGCTCTCGTACAAAGAGAAAAAACTGGTCTCGGTTGGCATCTGCTTTTCTCCTTTCCCCTCATCTCCCTGGGGTGAAGTCTTGGCTGCAGGTTGTCAAGAGTTTGGGGCCAGGTTCCCACGGCCCTTTTGGTCGGGGCGGAGCGGGCCCAGTCCCTCCCTGGTCAGTGCAGGAGGCCGGTTGGGGTTGTGTGTGTGCACACACACGTTGTGGTCTGAGAGTGTGTGTGTGTGTGTGCGCGCGTGTCCAACTTCCCCATGCCCAGGGTCCAGCTGGGGCCCCCATCCTCATGCATCCAGAGAGCAAGGGAGAGGGAGAGGTGCCCAGGGTGGCCTGGGGCAGGGGATGCATCTTCCTTCCACACAGTCTGAGCCCTGGGGGCCCACCAGCATCCAGGTGGTGGTTCCCACTAGATGTCTGGTGTGACCCAGGGCACCTGCACGCCTGGGGTGGGTAGGAGGGCTTCCAGGGTGGGAGGGGCCATCCCTCCCCCCCCCCCCCCCCGCAGTGGGTGCTTGGTCCTGGCAGAGGAGCTCAAAGGAGGAGGGGGCCTGCTGGCCAGCCTTCCCCTGGCCTCCCCCGCACCTGGAGCCATGCCTGATATGTCTGAGATTTAATTTAAAAACAAAACAAGGACAGTTCATTCTTCCATGAGCGAGTCGAACCTTTCCAATGGTAGAAAAGCATATGTAGAAGTAGCAATTCGCACGTAATCTTGTACATGATCACAGCCAGCACACAGAACGTTTCTACCGTGAAAAAATAGACTGTCTTTGAACGTAATATGAATAAGCAAATTCTCTTTTAAATTCATTGACTCATATTCTGTCAGTTTTTTTTTAAAAAAAGGAAAAATACACTATTTAAAAAAAACGGTAATGTCACTGGTTACAGTTACATCGATACTTTAAAGAAAGCCGCTCACAGCGCAGGGCCAAGGCAGGGCCAAGGCTCTGCTCTTTCCTGATGGTCTGACGGCTGGGAGGAGGTGGGCTCGGCGGAGGCCGCATGGTTATCCGGAGGGGGTAGGGAGAACCGGCAGAGGCTTCGGGTTCAAATTCAGACTTTGCCTGGGTGACCCAGGGCAAGTCATGGCCTTGTGGGGCCTATTTCCTCACCTGTAAAGCAATGGGTCCTACGATTCCTAAGGTTCCTTCTGGTTGGAATCCTATGAGTCTAGAACCGTCTCTTCCCCAAGCCCCGGGCAGGGGTGGGAGAAAGGAGACAGTATTTGCTGAAGACAGGGAGGAATGGGTTGAACAGGCCTGTCCCAGCAGCTCCTCTGCCTTGCCCCCCTCTCCCCACCCTCTGAAATCCCACCTGCAGGAAAGCTACTTGCCATGCTGCACCCTCCCCCCTTTGTCTTTTTCTCCAGCTTTCCAGAAATAACATTTTTTGGAATCAAAAAAGAAATAAGGAATGTTCCAAGTATTCAAAAGGGGATGTGGCCCCAGCCCCCCTGCCTCCCAGCTGGGTCCTGGTTGTGGGGACCCCTGGGCAGCCTTCCCTCCCCATGCTGGGGGAGTTCTGGCAGGCCGGGCCAGGCTTGGCGAATCTCTGTCCCTCCCCCAGTGCTGTACAGAGGAGGCATTTCATTGATGTGGTCATTGGCTCAGGGCTGCGGCTGGGGGCTCTGCGTGGGTGAATGGTGGAGGGTGGTGTGGGTGGGGGGGTGATTTCCCCTAAAAATGTCCAACCAGGCAAACAAAGACATCAAATTCTTAATGATGGGCCCCAAGTGACTGTGCCCCTCCCCGGAGTGGGGGCTGGGGGGGGGCAAGGTGACCTGGGGACCAAAGCCAACTTGAGGTAACAAGCCGCTGCTGCTCAGACCAGCCCTGGCTCACAAGCTTCTGGACCGCTCCTGGAGTTCATGCTGTGGAGGCCCCAGAGTGAGTGGCCTGCGTTGGGCCCGCCCTTCCCCCAGGCTCCCGCTGTGGTGTCCAAATAAAAAGGTACTTGTTCGGTTCAGTTTGTGGTAATCAGTTCGAGGACCCTTCCGGGTGAGGGAAGGGGGAGCGTCCATGACGTCCAGCGGCCCGTGGAGTCGGTTCGGGGAGGGATGGCTTTTTATGTTGCATAGTGGTCAAAACTTCCAAGGTACTCGAGGGCAGCCTGGTAGCAGAACTGGTACTCATCCTGAAGCACAGACAGGTCAGGAGAGGAAGAGGTCAGTTACACCGGCAGTCGTACAGCCTCCCCTCTCCCACCCCAGGGTCTATAGAGAAGACAGCTTGCCAGGGGACAAAAAGTGCTGCATTCGGAGTCAGTGGGCCTGCCTTCGACTTTGCAGGCACCAGTTCCACGTTTCCCCTGGGGGATGCAGGGCTGCACGTGAATGTTATACCCATTTTACAGCTGAGGTAACTGAGGCTCAGAGGGCTGAAGAGGATCTATCGAAGGAATTGTGGTATCTAGACTGGAGAAGACTAGGGGCAGGGGGCATGGTGGCAGCACAGCTGTGCATCTTAGTTTTGAAGGCTGGTCATGAGACGGAGGCAGCCACAGAGCAGCAGCAGATGAGGAAAAGTGAGTGTGGCTTCAACGTCCCTCCTGAAATATGGGGCCCAGAACTGGATAGCCGAACGGTGTGGTGGAGTGTGTACTAGGCTTGAGCTCAGGAAGACCTGAGTTCAAATCCAGCCTCAGACACTTACTAGCTGTGTGACCCTGGGCAAGTCACTTGTCTTGTCTCAGTTTCCTCAGTGGTAAAATGGGCATAATAACAGCACCTACCTCCCAGGGTTGTTGTGGGGATCCAACCAAATGATATCTGTAAAGCTCTTAGCACAGGGCCTGGCACAGTGCAGGTGCTTATAAATCCTTGTTCCCCCTCTCTCCCTCCCCTGTACCTCAGATGAGGTCTGAGCCGAGCTGAGGGCAGGGGGATGAGCACCCGCCTCCCGTGCTCTGGACACCAGGCCTAAGATGGCACGAGGCCTGCTGAACCCCAGCCAAGCGGGCCCTCACCTCCGTCTGCACCATGGCCGGCCTCTGCGTCCGTAGCATCTTCACCGTCTGGAAGATGTCCACCACTCCCTCATAGCGCATCCTCTCCAGGACGATGCTGAGCGTGATGAAGACCCCAGTCCTGCCCACGCCGGCACTACACACAGCGAGGAAGAACACATTCAGAGGCAGAGAGAGAAGGGCCCGCTGTTATACCCCTTTGGTCACGTGATGACGCCAGGGGCCCCCAAGAGCCATCTGGCGATGTCACGGGAGCGTCCGTAGGTGAGAAGACCGTGAGCGTGTGTGATGCAGTGGAGAGCCTGAGAACGGCGGTAACTGTGAATCAGGGATGAGTGCAAAATTTCTAGCTATCTGCAGCAGTTACAAGGGGACATGAAATCATCTGCGACAAAGTCACAGACGCTGCTGATACCCCAGTGGGATGCCACCTCCGTTCAGCACTGTAGTAAATGCTAAATTTCAGTTACAGGTTAGTGCAAACAAAGATGCTGCTTCCCCCCCATTCATATTCAAGGACTCCCTGGAAATCTCTCCATGGACCCCAGGGTCAGAGGCCTGGATGTTGTTCGACATCCTCATTTTACTGAGGCCCAGAGTGGGAGTGGGTGGCTCGAGGTTACACCGCTTTAGAAGTGGGGGAGCCAAGATCTGAATCCAGCTCTTCTGACTTATAACCCCAAGCCCCTAACAGGCCCTGCTCTCCTTCCTCCTGAGGCCACTCGGGGGCTCTCTCAAACCCCACTTCTAATGGGGGCATCTCCTACCCCAGCTGCAGAGAGAGGGGAGGATGTGATCATGGACCACGGAGAAAGATGGGGAAAGAGGAAGAGGAGGCCACAGGCCAGAGGAGAGACAAGGAAGGGAAAGGTCATGAGAGGGGAGAAAGGGCCCAAACTGTCATTATTATGAAGCACCTACTCTATACAGGGCTCTGCTGGGCACAAAGTTCAAATAAGCCCTCGTGGAGCTCAGTCTAGTGGGGGCTACCTCACAGCCCCACACACCCACCCATTCTTACATGGTGAGGGCATTAGGAAGGTGCAAGCCAAGCGAAGGGGTGGCAGGTACTGATGGATGGGGAGGGGATCAGGGCAGGGGCAGAGGCAGAGGCAGAGGCAGGGGGAAAACCTGGGCTGCCTCTGGGGAACAAAAGGCCAGTCTGCCCGGACTGCACAGCATGCTGACGTGGAGAAGGGCCACACGAAATAAGGTTGGGTGAAGCCAGACCATGGGGTGGCCTTGAATGGGAATGGCGTCTGAACTTTCCTGGCCCGGCAGCAGGTGCCCTGAAGGGTTTGGGCAAAGGAGGGACAAATAGTGACAAGATTGGAGATTTAACCCAATGTCCTCCTTTTACAGGTGAGGAAACTGAGGCCCAGAGAGCTCTGAGTGAGCCAACTCAGGCTACTGGTAAGAGGCGGAGGCAGGACTGCCTTGTATTTACTTGGGACATATTTCCCATTGACATAATTGTATGGGTTGTGCCTCCCCAGGAGGACGTAAACTCCTCAAAAGTGGCATCTCTTTGGTTTTAATTCTCATATCCCCAGGCACATGATAGCCTCCTTATAAATGTCTGCTGACTGACCACTGACCGGCAAGTCTGGCAGGGGGCAAAGGAAGAAACGAGTGGAGGTAGGAAAATGTCATCCAGGAAAGTGTTTGTAAGGAGGACTGACTAGGCTGGGGACTGTGGGAATATAGAAGTGGGGATGGACAGGAGGAATGGGACACAGATGGGAAACAGCACCAGTTATTGGTGGGGAAAAGTCCCCAAGCCCTCCCTGTGGACCATGGGTCTATGCTTCCTCCAGGGGAGAGGCCCTAGCCTGGCAAGGGGCACAGATGGGCAGAGAGAAGGGGGGAGCCACAGGAGGGTGTAGGGCAGGGTTACACCTTCCCCCTGGAGGTACAAGAAGTGTGACGGGGTGGGGGAGGAGGGAGACGTAAGGAATATCTAGGAAATAACTGTATTAGCCTCTTGAAATACTACAAAAATACTATTGTTAGTGAACAAATACATGGATTAGAGAGAGATGCCAAGGAGACAGGGGCCGGGTGGGGAAGGAAGGGGCATCAGAGAGCATTGGATGGAATAATTCCTACCAACTAAAACCAAATGAATGAAGGCTGGATGTGAAACCCCTTTTCATATTGAACAAGGGAAAAAGAGCCATCTGTGACGACCCCAGGAAAGGTGTGTTCATTGATCTCCACAGTGCCAGCCGGTGCCAAATTGATTTCCAATCTGCAAAGTTACAGACTTTTCAGAGTCCCTTCGCAGAAGCACAGTCCGTCCTTCCTGGACGTGCTCCCAAGGCTTCACTCACATTTACAACTCATCTCAGAGAATCAGGATTCTTGGTCCCGTTCTTAATCAAATCCCAAGCAGGAAACAAACTGGAGGCTGGGCATGATATGTGGCTAATCGCTTTCAAAAACTATCCTGAGAGAATAAAATCAACTAGTTTATTTGACTGTGTTCTGATAAATCTTTAACAACATTATGATAGTAAAACAAGTCATCATGTACTGAATAAAGGGGTTTTTATGAAAAATTTCATCTGTTTTATTCCTCACATGTGTGTGTCTGAGACACTCTAGAATTTATTTCCTTTCACATTTAATAGGTGGTGTGGGAAGGATTACTGAAAACCAAGGAGCATAGGGATGGAAAAAATGTTGGGTACCCCTAGGGTAGGGTTAGAAAGGCGAGGCCACATCTGGAAGAGAGATGGGGAGAAGGGAAGAGATGCTCATGGACAGAGGAACAAATGGGGAGGTGGGAGAGGAGACCAGATGGGTGTGGAGGACGCGACATGGACCATGGAGGAAAGGGATGGTGGTGGGTGTCTCCTTACATAAGCCCTGCCCAGAGCGATGCTATTGCCAGGACCTCGCCCTTGGCCAAGTCCACGCACACAGACACACGTCAGGAGGCCAGTGCTGACACAACTCAGACCACAGGATTGTCTGCCCCTGCCCCTGCCCCTGCTCTGTGACCCCAGGGATGGCCCTACCTGCAGTGGACAGAGATGGGCCCGTCCTGGCCAAACTGCTCCTTGGTTTTGTGCACTTGGCCGATGAAGTCGATGAAACCTTCGCCCGACTTTGGCACGCCTTGCTCTGGCCAGTCTGTGAACTGGAACTGGCGGACAGTCCGGGACTGGCCGTCCTGGGGAGAGGAGGAGAGGCCCAGCCCAAGTCAGTGGTTACCACGGCCTGTTGTTTACTCACTTAAAACAAATGTACTGTATACAAGACATTTCCATTATACAAATGCTGTATAAGAAGAGCTCTCTCTCTCTCACCTCCCTTGTCTCTCTCTCTCTCTCTTCCTTCCCTCCCTCCTGTATAAGAAGTGCTAGAGATATACAAATATGGAAAAGACACCATCCCTGCCCACACAGAGCTTACAATACACTGAGGGAATGAGGTCCCAACACATACAACCTTCTATGACAAGCTCCTGACAGAGGCAGAGAACAGGTGACATATAAGGGTCAAGCGGGTATCCCTTAACAACAGGGGAAACCTGAAGATGTCCTCGGTGGACCTGAAGGGGAGTGTGGGGGAGGGAGGGAGAGAAGGCGGAGCACTCTGAGGCCAGACAAGGTGGGAGCGGAAGGGACTTATCTGGTTTGGTTGGAGCATGAAACATGGTGAGGCCAGGAATAAGAGAAGCCTGGAGAGTGTAGGGTGATGCCAAGCCGTGCCCATCTCCTTCCATCATTCCAGGGCCGCCGCTGTTCATCATCCATCGATCTTAGTGGCCACGGCCAAGCCATGGCCCTGAACTCTGGTCCTCCTTCTCCTCCTCTTCCTCCCACGGGCACGTAGCCTCTGCCCCTGAGAGCCTGGGCTCTGGGAGGTGAGCTTTTGTGGCACTCTGCCCAGAACCAGGCCACATATCCTACCTTCCTGCCCTGTTCTCTGACTCTAGACATGGTTTTCACCTGTCAGAATGTAAGCTCCTTGAGGGCAGGGATTGTGCCCGAGGTGCCTGGCATACAGTAGGTGCTTAACAAATGCTTTTTCATCCATTCCAGACCATCTTGACTTCATCAATGTCATCCCTCATTCAACGCATCTACCATCAGCCTCTTGGTATCACCACCTTCTCGCTTGTCAGCTTCCTCCATCAGGAGCAGAGCAGAGGCTCCCAGGAGACCCAGGGTGGCCCTCACTCACCCTCTGTGCATGTGGAGGGGCAGCCTACCTTGGGGCTGGAGCACGGGCATGACAGGGCCTCAGTGGGGAGTGAGGTCCAAGAGGCAGAACGGACCTCTTCTCCCACATGTGATGGCCTTCCCTCTCCTGCTCAGGACCCTTCTCACGGCCTAAGAGTGAGCCCGGCCTCTGAGGCCTTCCCAAGCACAGCCTCGGTCTACCACTTTGTCCTCATCTCCCTCCTGCTCCTCTACATTGACCTGCCTCCCACCACAAGCACGCTGGATTTCCTGCAGTGGTCCCCGAGTTCTCAGAGCACTTGTTCTGCCTGGCAGGCCCCTCCCTCTCTCTAACTGGACCCGTCTTCCAGGGACCTGCTGTAGTCCTGAACCTTCTCCAAGTCTACCTTCCTTGTAGCTGCTATTGCACTTATGGCAGCTAGGTGGCGCAGTGGATTGAGTCCTAGGCCCCGAGGCAGGAAGATCTTTGTTCAAATCTGACCTCAGACACTAACTAGCTGTGTGACCCTGGGCAAGCCACTTAACCTCCGTCTGCCTCACTTTCCTCAACTGTAAAATGGGGATTATAATAGTACCTGCCTCCCAGGGGTTTTGTGAGGACCTGGCACACAGTAAGTGCTATATAAATGCTTTTCCTCTCCCCTTCCCCCCTTTATGGTCCGTACTATTTGCTTTGTTTATCCCACAACAACTTGTATGAATATGTTCTTAGAGCTAAAATGGGCCACGGCGATTTTCTAGTCCACTCCTCTCCCATTTTACAGATGAGAAAATTGGGGCCCAGAAACGGGCTGGCCACCTTGAGCCGAGGGAGAACAAGGCTACATAGTACGTAAGCTGCAGGGAGTGCCTCTCGCTTCCTGGCCAGTGTCTCTGAGACCAGCTGCTTCCTCACCACTCTGGGCCTGGCCTCAGTCTGCAGGTGGCCAGACTGGCCCGATGGCCTGAGCCCATGGGGAGGGGAGGGCGGGGTCAGTGACTGCCCTGGAGTGCCCCACCGCCCCACGCGGAGCCGGGACCTTGGGCGTCTGTACCCCTCACCCAGCTGCCCCTCTGGGATGGGCTGGGCACTCACCCGGGCGTCGGTGACTTTGAACTCGCGCAGGATGTACTGGGGCATGTTATACTCCGCCATGGGGTCCACCACAAAGTACTGGTAGCGTGCCGATCGTTCTGCTGGCCAGTACTGGTGACATTTCTCCTGGTGCAAGGAGAATGGGGCTGCCTGTCAGGTCTGCTGTCCCATGCAGGGGATGTGTGTGTGTGTGTGTGTGTGTGTGTGTGTGTGTGTGTGTGTGTGTGCACGCGCGCATGTGCGCGTGCATGCATGCAGGGGGCAGAGGGCCGTGGCAGTCAGGGAGGGAAAAGCCACTGACTGCAGGCTGCCTCTTTCTGCCCTGCCCTTACCCCACCAGGTGAACCTATCTCATCTTCCCTCCTCCCCGAGGAGTCTGCCCCTCAGTCCCCTGACTCCAGACTGTTGCCTCCCTCAGGGCAGGCCCAGGGCTGGCCCTTCTACACTTTCCCTGCTCCTCCCCCTAAACTTAGGTCCCCCAAGGCTCCTTCCCTAGGAGTCCTGGGGGAGGGTGCCCTCTGAAGGCTTCCCACAGCTCTGAGGGTCCCCGCTTGTTGGGGGGATGGTTGTCCATGACACATTCTACCCCACGCTGTTCTGCTACCCCAGCAGGCAAGGCTTGGCGCTCGGGCCTCTCTGGTGACTCACAGGCACGGAAGGCCAGGGCCGCCCCTGCTCGCCGCCTCCCCCACTCACCCGACCCATCTCCCGCAGCTTGGTGAGCATCACCACGATGGTGGAGTTGTTCTCCCACAGCATCCGCCAGAAGTCCTCGGTGGTCTCTGCCAGCGGCCCCTGTGTGGCGATGTAGGCCTTCTGCTGCCTGTGAGCAAGAGAGGGTCGCTGAGAGACGCCTCAGTCTTCCTCGGAGGGTGCAGGGCCCTGCGCTGGCTGCCCCAGCGTCTCCTCTGGGAATGATGGGGATTTTTACCCTAACAGAGACCACTGAGGTCGGCTCCCCTCCTTGTACAGACAGGAAAACTGAGATCTGGGCTACAGGAGTGATGCTCAAAGGCATGCAGAGACTTGAATCCAGGGCTCCCATCTCTGGGTCCAAGGATGTTTCCTGTCTCTTTTCAAGCTGGAGGCAAGAAGGCTGAGCGACTGTCCTAAGCAGAGCAGAGCCTTATTCGGGGTTTATTTTCTTTCCTCTCCACCTCTGGACTCCTTGGTCCATCTGCCCATGCAAGAGGCTGTCTATTCCTGAAGGCAGCTGGCACCTCTGGGGGTAAACCCGTGGTTCTGGGAGGGGGTGGGGCAGGCCAGGGAAGGAGAACAGCATGGAACTGTGGGGCAAGGGAGCCGGGGACAGCTAAGCTAAGGCCCCCAGGGCAGGGACACTGAACGGCCTTCCCAGCCCATCTGGGCCCACCCTCGCCTGCGCACCGGTAGCCGTCGATGAAGCTGGCATTGATGTAGTCAGAGCCCTCCACGCCGCGGATGGGCTGCAGGCACACACGTGTGCTCTCGTACGGCATGATGTTCACCAGGCGGTTCTTGAACTTGTTACAGGGAAGGTTGGCACTGATGAAGCGGGACGTGTGGGCTTTGGAATTGGCCAGCCTCTGGAGAGGGTATACGGGAGAGGCGGGTTTGGGTTGGGTGGGCACCAGGGGATTCCCTGGCTCAGAGCGAGCCCCCAGTCTCCCCTTTCCTCCTCACCCTGGAGGCAGCAATGTGGAAAAGATGGCTGTGTGGGCCTTGGTGCCCCGGCACCTTCCTGGACCAGATTTCAGACCCTTAGCACCACCGGTCCCATTACCCCAAGCCCTTCCAGAGTGGCCCCTCTCTGAACACCACCTCTTCCCCTCCACGGCCTCCCCTCCCCTCTCCACGGCCTTGCCTGGCCGCACCAGCTCCAGGGGGTGACCCACCCCTCTCCACGGCCTCGCCTGGCCGCACCAGCTCCATGGCCTCTCCTCCCCTCTCCACGACCTTGCCCAGCCACACCAGCTCCACGGGGCAAGCCTCCCCTCCCACTCAGTCCCCTGCCCCACACCGGGCTCCCACCTTGAACTCCAGCTCCATGCCCGTGACGTGCTCGCCAGTCTCCACCTGGGCCAGCTTCTGAATGTATGAGTAAAGGTTGCGGGCGGGGACCTCAGTGTTGCCACAGGCAACGGCTTCCAGAAGGGCATCGTGGATGAAGCTGTACTGGTCCTCGGTCTGGACCATGTAGTTGCGCTGTGAGCGCATGAGGGTCACGTGCCCGTAGATGTCCACGGTCTTCTCGGGCTTGATCCGCTCCAGCATGGCGTCTATGACGATGAAGCAGCCTGTCCGGCCCACGCCCGCGCTGTGGGGAGGGAGAGCAGATGCTTGGGGGCTGGACCCGATAGCTCATCCTGGGATGCCAGCACCCATTGCTCTGACACCCAAAGGCCTTCCTTTACCAAGGGCCTTCCCCCACCAGCAGATGGGGCAGGCAGGCAGTGGGTGTGGGCATGCATCATCCTCCTTTCAGGGATGTGAGGCAGGGAAGCAGGCGTCAGTGCTGGGGGTCCCTACCCGCATGCCCTAAACCCTGCTGGTCCTCAGGGATCCCTTCTATCTCAGGGCTGGAGGCTACTCCCTTGTTCTTCAGAGAGAGGGTGGGGAAAGGGACCTTTGTGCGGTCACATAGCATGTCAGTAGCTGATCCTAACAGCAGAAAATAAACAGCTACAAACAGGTGACTTGCCCAGGTCCAGGTAACCTCCTTTGCCCAGGGGCCAGGCTTGGATGCCAGGACCAAGGCTGGTGGGAGGCCAGGGATCACTGTACCTGCAATGAACCACAATGGGGCCTGCATCTGGAGGGTTGCAGGTCTTCACTCTTCTCAAGAAAGCCAGGAAGGGTGTTGGGTACTCAGGGACGCCATGGTCTGGCCACGCTGTGAATTGGAACTGGCGTACTTCACGCTTCTCGCTGGAACCATTCTGTGGAGACAAGGGGCAGGCTAGTGGGCAGATGACCCCATGGACTGTGACCCTCAGAAACTCCCATCTTTTCTTAATGTATCCCGTGTACCACTTCCTAACAGATGGCTCTCCCCTACTCTAAAACCTTACATGGCTCCCTACTACCTTGAAAGTCCAAACTACTCCACCTAGACATCTCTTTCCTCTCTCTCTAACCTTGCCCCCTAACTCCCTTCCATGTCCACATCTGTGGCTACCAGAGCCCCTCCCGGTTCTCCCCCACACCCCTCAATACCAGTTCTGTCCACTTTCACACCCTTGATGAAGCTACTGATCCTTCTGTAATACCCTCCCCCCTCTCTCATGTGTATCTAGGACCACGAAAGGCAGTCTGCAGAGGGGTGCTGGCATATTTTTGGGGGCCAGGGCAGGACCGCTCTTGCTTGGTAACTTTGGGGGCTTTGCAGGCTGAATGTAAGCAGTGAGCTCCTGCCTTATTCTTTTCAGTGATGGATGGGGGAATCTCACCTTCCCCATACACTGCCTCTTAAATTCCCTGCCCAGCTACAGTGGACAAGGATGGTTCTGGGCACGGTCTGTCCCTCAGGGGTGATATGGGGGGAAAGGCTGGCCAGGACCTAAAGTATCTCCCCTCCTGCCTCGTCTGGGCCTGCCAAGCTGGTTCTTTCCATGCTCAAAAGTATAACGGCAGGCCTGGCTCCTCCAGGGACTGATCCCCATCCTGAGCAAGGAAGCTGCCTTCTCTTCCATAACCCGTGAGGCTGGGAGCGCCTCTGAGGGCAGGGCTGAGGCTTCTCCTTCCCCGGTGTCCCCACAAACCCCAGCAGAGACACAGGACTGTGAGGGACGAGGGTGGAGGCTGGGTGCAGAGGCCAAGGCCCTAGCCTGAGAGGCCCTTGGACACCCCAGAACCTCAGGGATTGGGAGAACCCTCCCAGGACATCCGGTGCAAGCACAAACATCCTCCACCGGGTCCCCAACAAACCTCCCTCAGACTCTTGTCCACCTGAATCCCTCTCTCCCGAGGCCGCCCTTTCCCTGTGTCCAAGCACGGCCCTAGGTCTGCCTCATCCCTCAGGGCAGGGAGCAGGGGGAAAGGCAGGAGGAGGCACCTTGTGCAGGGAGAAGGTCCGGACGCAGAATGTCGCCAGCTCGATTGTGTCCAGCAGGGTAACCTGGATCACACCATAGGTCTCTGTGCCCCGGCCAGGCCAGTACTGGTCACACTTGATCTGGGGTGTGGGAGCAGGAGGGAAGGCCAGAATCAACGTCATGGCTAAGGCACTGCGGGTGTCGCTGCCCCACTCCCACCATGGGCATCAGCCCCAGAGGCTCCTCTGAGGGAGGATGGGGCCTGGGCCGGGACCCTGGGGCATTGCCACGGCAACCCTTCCAGCCTGCCCGTGATGAAGGCTATCGGGGCCTGAGCTGGGGAAGGGGGCCCCCCTTGGCATGAAGCCAGTACTTGGCAGGAGGCAGCGTCCGCTAACAACAACAGCCAACAATGTTATGGTGCTTTCAAGTCTGCAAAGGGTTTGTCTAATCTCATTTTAGCTGAAACAACATTTCTGGGAGAAGATAGAGAGAAGAAAACAGAGGTTCCAAGAGGTTAGGTGACCTGACAAAGGTCACGTGGCCAGTAAACATTAAGGGGTAGAATCTGAACCCAGGTCCCTGCAATCTGAAAACTTTCCACATGACATGGTGGCATGCTCATTCTTTTGGGGTTAGCAGACGATTCTTCTTGTCATTCAGTTTTTTATTTATTGCAAATTAAATTACGAGCCCTTCAATTTCACACCTTTTTGCATATGAGCCTACACACAGTGGGTGTGAAATGATGATGATGATGGGAAGGGGTGTGATCGGAAACCAAGGTAGGCTCAGTGCTGGGCTAGGAACATACCGTATTACTCCAGCAGAATGCAAGCTTCTTGAGGGCAGCGATTGCCTCATTTCTGTCTTACTAACCCACTGCCTAGAAGAGCACCGGGTACATCAAGTCTGCTGGACTGAACTGAATTTAGAGTTAGGAGACCTGGGTTCAAGTCTTGGCCCTGACACTTAGGATCTGTGTGACTTTGGTCAAGTCACAGCCATGCTGAGTGACTCAGTTTCCCCTTCTGTAAAATGAGACAATTTCCTTCTTCCTCCTCTGTTCCCTTGGGAGTTGGGGGCTCCCTCGCCCAGTTTGGCCCTTCCTTACCCGTGACTTCTCCTCCAGCTTGGTCATCATGACCACGGTGGCAGAGCGTTGCTCCCACACCATGCGCCAGAAGTCGCCAAAGGTCTCAGGCAGGGGTCCCTGCGTGGCGATATACGCGTTTTGTTTTCGGTAACCATCTATGTAGTTGGCGTTGATGTAATCGCTGCCCACGATGCCTAGGTTGGAGAGATTGAGGGGATTCTGAGGAGCTGAAAGGCTCATCTCCAGGCAGGGGGACTCCAAAGTGAAGGCATCCCTTGGGCATGGAACCACGAGGGTCCTCCTTTGGGGGATGTGGGGCTGGGGCCATCCTTCAGCAGGGGTAGTTAGGGCCGACCCTGTGCAGAGCCTGGGATGACCCTTGGTTCTAAAGGCAATCTTCTCCCCATGCCCTGTCTCTCTCATGTGTACCTAGGACCATGAAAGGCAGTCTGCAGAGGGGTGCTGGCATATTTTGGGGGCCAGGGCAGGACCACTCTTGCTTGGTAACTTTTAGGGCTCTGCAGGCTGAATTATTCTTTTCAGTAATGGATAGGGGAATCTCTCCTTCCCCATACGCTGCCTCTTGAATCCCTGCCCAGATACAGTAGACAAGGATGGCTCATGGTCTCCAGGAAAGAGAGTGTGGGCAGGGCCTAAAGTATCTCCCCTCCTGCCTCCTCTGGGCCTACCAAGCTGGCGCTTTCCATGCCCAGTGCCATCACCTTCTTCCCTCTGTAGCCTGACCTTCCAGACTCCAGAAGGAGTAGGCAGGCCGCCTTCCCTCTCCCTGGACTACCTCTGACTGCTCCAGTCCTGCTCCTCTACCCTTGCCTCTCCCTGTTGCTGAGGGTCTGAGCACACACCCACACCCTCAGGAGAGTGGTCATCCAAGAGTCCTGCCTCACTAGTCCTAGAGACTCCTTGAGGGAAGGGCCTGAGTGGCTCTGCTCCCACCACCTTGCCTACTCCACAGGCAGGTTCCGGGCTGGGCTCACGGGGGCTTTGGTGAGCTCTTAGTGCGTGGCTGATAAATGCTCAGCTAAGGGAGAGATGGTCACTGAGCTCCTATCAGCTCTGTGGTGCTGCTGTCTGCAAGACACACTGGGGAGACGAGCCCCAGAAGCATGAGGCTAGGGCAGAGATCTCAGAGATGATCTTGCCTAACCCCTACCTGAGCAGGGATCCCCTCATTCAACCTCTGCTTGCACACTCCCAGTGACGGGGGGCTCATTACCTCCTGAAGTAGCCCACTGCCTTAGGGGACAATTAAGGCTTAGAGACCAGACTATTTTAGCCACCCACAGAGCTGCTTTCTCTTTCATCCATCTCTCTTTTTTAGAGGAGTTCTGGTTTATGGAGAGTTGGTTAAACTCTCACTGGAGCCGGAGTGTGACCGAGGCCTGATTTTCATGGTCTGGGAGAAAGAGTCCAGGGTTGGGAATCAGGGGCCGAGTTCCAGTCCTGGCTCAGCCAATAACTGAGGGACAGATCTCTTAACCTTCTCTCTTGGCCTTAGCTTTCCTACCTGAGAAGTGGGGCTGCTGATCCCTGCCCAGGAGTCCTTGGGAGTTCGGGGGAGAGGTCTTCTTACCTTCCATGGGGAGAAGGATGACCCGAGAGTGGTCGTAGGCTATGACATTGGCATAACGATTCTTGGGCTTATTCACCTCCAGGTTAGAGTGTTCCCAGGTGAACTGCTGTCCGGGGTCAATAGACTGCAGGACGAGAAACAGACAGAGGCAGGGGAGAAAGGGAGATCCAGAATGGCGGGGGAGAATAGGGAAGAGGAGGGATGGAGGAGAGAGACAGAGAGAAGAGAGACAGAGATAGAGGAGAAAGGGAGATCCAGAATAGTGGAGACAGGAGAGATGCGGAAGAGGAAGGATAGAGGAAAGAAGAGACAGAAGTGGGGAGGAGATAAGAGGAAAGATGGGCAATAGGGAGAGAAACAGAGAAAGCACAAAGAAAAAGGGCAAAGAGGAGGAAGAAAGGGTATAGAATGAAGAAAGTGAGTGGAAGGGAGACAGAGAAAAAAAGGAGAGGGGGAAAGGAAAGGAGAAAGAAGACAGGAGAGAGACAGGAAGAGGAAAGGGAGGAAGATATAGAGAGCAAAAGGGAAGAAAGAGAATGAAGCGGGACAGGAAGAAGACAGATTGGACAGAGGTGGGAAGGGTGTCAGACACAAAGGCTGTTCAGGGCTGCTATTGGTGGCTCAGCCTTTTCTGGCAAGGCTACTAGAGGCGGGGCTGGGGGGGGGACAGTCACAGGGCGGTCCTTGCTCTACCTACCTGTGCCATGTGAGAAATCACATGAGAGAACTGGGATAGCTGGGCCAGACGAGCTGACCCAATCCACTCATTTTCAGAGGAGGATCCCTAACTGAGCCCTAAGGGATCAGCCAAGGCCATGTGGCCGTGAGAGACCAGTGTCCCCAGCTCCTTCGAAGGCACTTCCCACTGCCCTACAGTGCCAATGGCAGGCCTGAGGCATTTGCCTTGGCTGTGCCCACTATCCCCCTGGGCACAACACAATGCCCAGCTGTGGGGACTCTTCCTGTAGAAGCTCCCCTGACCACACCCAGCCCTCTCCACCATTCAGCTAACTTTGGTAGTGCTGTGGCCTGCTTTATTCACAGAGAGGATCATGGGATTGCAGTACAATGAGTTTAGGTGACATACTCAAGGCTGTGTAACCAGCAGGCGGAAGAGCAGGGATTCAAACTCAAGTCCTGATCTCAAATCCCGTGCTCTTTCCACCAAGCTAGGCAGCTGCCTCAGTGAAGAGGCCTAGGCCAGGGCTGTGCGTATGTGTGTGCAGGGATGTGGTGGCAGGGTCTGCAGCCACTTACCTCATACTCTTGGGATAACTTCAGGTTGTCATTGGCTTTGAGGTGCTCTGTGTGCTCAGCCATCTCGGTGATGGGGATTGGAGGGTGGCTGAGCATACCTGGGGGGGAGAGCAGACCCGCCAGGTGGGGGCGGGGAAAGAGGGTGGTCATGGCCTGTGGCGGGGCCGGGACAGCCCCGGCCCAGCCCACGGGATGCATGAAGTGGGGACGATGGGGGGTGAGGGGAGGCTCTACAATGTGAGTTCTGCAATGGAAGGGCGGCGGTTAGAAGAGAGAAGGCAGGCAGGGCTCGAAATTAATGTCCTGGGAGAGGGGGAGGGGGCAGAGGGAAGACAGGTGGTCTCCTCTGCCCACCACAGCCCCTAGAGTAGGGGTGATCAGGAGGAGGCAGGGAGGAAGGGAGGGAGGGAAGAGACTGTTGATGGTGCTTGGTTCCTAAGAGGTTCTAGACCAAGTGAACTGCAAGGGAAGGAGCTGACCCCACATACACAGCTGTTACAGAGAGGGGAGGGAGGTCTGGGTGGGGCCCAGATGGAGATGGACATGCAGATGGGCAAAATGGGAGGTCTCTGGGGAAGCTGGCTCTGTCACCCTTGGGGTCCTCCCTGCCTGGCACAGGGACTCTGGCCGGTGGGCACCTCCCAAAGTCCGTCCACCAGGTAGATGGAGAGTGGCTGAAGACCCATTCTCAGCTCTGTCCCCTCCCTCAGGGAGATGGCTTTCATCTGGGGCCAGGCAGTGAACAGCTTTCACAGGATGCGTTTGGTTCTTACAAAACTCTGGCCAGACTTGCAGGGACTGGAGAATAAATACTTTTAAGAGTTTCTTGGTCCTTGGTAGCTTGGACCTGGGAAGGCTAAAACTCAAGATTCCACCTAGCAGAGGTTTGGGAATGGTCCCTTGGGTTTAGGCATGTGGTAGGACCACTTCCTACTGTAACGAGTTACCTCAGCCATGACCCCTGATTCTAGCCTCAGCCCTAAAGCCCTGACCCTGACCCTGGCTGGCTGCCTCACTAATGCTTCCACCTAGAGTGTGTGAATGACTCAGTATACAACCCCTCCCCACTCTAAGGAAACCGCCTCCCTGCTGCTGGGTCCAGAACGTGTTCTGAGCATCTTCAGGATGTGCTCTTTGTTACTCTGTGTGTGCGTGTGTGTGTGTGTGTGTGTGTGTGTGTGCGCGCGTAGCCTCCTGCCCCAGGGTCCTTGCAGGAGGCCCTGTCTCCACTCTGGGCCATGGCTCACTCCCACCACCTTCAGAGCCTATCAGGGGTGGGGTAGGGGATGAGGGTGACTGCTGAGAATTTCGAGCCCGAGAATGTGTCATGGTGAAGCAAGAGGTGGTGGGGGCGTGAGCAGCTGAAGAGAGCAGGGCAAGGCAAGCACTGCTCCCTAGTTTTACAGTGCACACCCCTCCTTCTCCCCTTCACTCCTGCCCTGAGGGACAATGAGGCAGACAACAGGGTGGGGTGGGCACAGAGGTGTAACCAAAGTCCTCCCGCCTCATCAACCTGGGGTCCCTTTTAGGGGACAAGGAGCTCCCTAGGCTGGGAGACAGGCGAGCCTTGGATTCTAGGCCTAGCTCTGTCCCTGGTTTGTTGTGTGACCTTGGATCTCTGGGCCTCAGTTTCCTCACCTGTAAAATGGGAGTAATGTCACCTGCCCACCATCCAACAAGAGGATAAACTGAATGGATGGGAAGATGCTTTGGAAAGGCTAACACACATTAATACGAGGACTATGTGTTACTCACCACCTACCATCCCCAACTCCTCCCATCAATTAAGTGACCACAAGGTGGACCAGATGCTCCCCTCAACCCCTGACCCGCACCCCGAGGTCACAGCATCACATGACCGAGAACCGGAAAGGACACTTAGAGATGGATGGTCTAGTCCAGAAGAAGAAACTGAGGCCCAGAAAGAAGGGAAGGGACTGTGCCCATGTTACATAAGATGGGAGGAGGGCAAGGACTGCTCTGTCTACTGACACAGTTGGTGAGAATGTTCTCTATGAGGGACAGATGAAGGCCTGGCAATGCCTGGGCATCCCTAAGTTGGGAGACCAGGTGGGAGAAGGGCCTGTCTTCGAGTTCTTGGTGCCCATGGGGGACTCAGGGTATCCTAAACTATGGACTGAGGCAGGCCTTCAGCCTCTGCTTTAAAAGACTCATTCCCCTCCTCCCCTTGTGGCCCAATTCCTGTTTTTGGAAGCTTAATCTAATTTGTTGGAAACATCGATCCACTTGGGGGAAGATCAATTCCTCTTTTAGGACGATCCTTCCTTTTCTTCTGACCACTGATCTCTATTTTCCTGAAGAGCCATCATTAGGGGGAAAGACAGATCCCTCTTTGGGGAGAAGGCACTCTGTTTGGGGGAGAGAGAGAGGTGGTTCTGAGAAGGGAAAGCTTGGGGAGAGTGTGTGCGTGCGTGCGTGCGTGTGCGTGTGTGTGTGTGTTTATGAAAGCTGTGGCTGGTCTTCCCTAGTTCCATCTGACCAGGGAAGGAAGAGTCGCCCCTCTCCCCCCACTCAAAGGGGGTCAGCTGTGGCTCCCACAGGGCCAGGATATAGAGGAGGAGCCCTGTTATTATGAAGAGGGAGAAGACCAAGACTGGTGGCATCAGGGACAAATGGTGGTGGCTTCAGGGAAATGGGTCTGTAAAGGGAGGCATTTAACTAGGTTTGGAGTTAAGGGAAGAGGCCCAGACTGGCACTCCAGCTCAGACAAGCTCTAGCGGCGTGACCACGGGCAAGTCACCGCACTCTTTGCACCTGTCTGACCTGTAAAGTGGAGATGGTAATGCTCGCACTCCCTACCTTGTTAGCATGTTACCAAGGCCACGAGGTTGTAGGATCATGGACTTACAGACCTAGGGCTGGAAGGGACCCTGCCTCCTCCCAGCCCGGCCCAGGTCATTTTACAGACAAGAGAACTGAGTCCCAGGAGGCTACGTGATTTATTTCTCCAAGGTCACCCAGCGAATAAGCAGCAGAGTGTCATCATACTTGGACTTCTCAGCTCTCTACCAGTGTGAATGTTTGCTCCACCACACGGGCCTGGCCTCTTCACAGGTGATTTCATGACATGTGGTGGGTAGAAAAAAATGAATCCCTTGATAGGGATGAGCCTCTCCATGCCTAGCTGGGTAGGCTAGCTCTTGAATGACAGAATTAATCCTGTTTACGCGGCTGTATTTCTAGGCTCATGCATAGAACACAGTACAGCCTGAGAACTGCAAGGGCCCTTGGAGGCTATCTGGTCTAACCTCTTAATTTTACAGAGAAGGAACATGAGGCCCAGAGAGGTTTTAAGATCTTTGACCAAGGTCACACATCAAATGAAGAGCCAGAATCTGAACTCGGGTCCTGACTCTTTCTGCTGCCCCCAGAGACACTGCCCAAGTTCTGACTCATGCTGGCCTGGGCTCTGGAAGCCCAGTGTCAATTCTGCCACAAAGAGAAAACCAAGGCAGACATTGCTGTTGTGGGTGAAGAGTGGAGGGAAGAGGGCACCACGTTTTGTATTCAGTGAACTTCAAGCCCACGGGAGCATACAGGCAGACCTGGAGGGGCCCCAGGGACCATCTCAGGCCACTGTCTCATGTGAAGATGAGGAGGTCGAGGCCTAGAGACTTGAAGTGCCTCAGCTAGCGCCTTGCAGCTGCGTCAGGGGTGGGATGTGAACCCAGCGTCCTTGGGGAACGCTGTAAAATGATTCGTCCATCCTCCTGTTCCCAAACCGCTCTGGTTCGTGATTCCAGATTTTCCTCTAGGGGACGGGTAAAGTGGACACTACCTCGCATGTCTGACCCTCTGCCTCCCACGCTGCCCATTCCTTCCCAGGAAGCTCTCGCTGGGTGTGGGGGGGCGGTAAGAGGTGGGGAAAGGGAAGGGGAGGGGAATAAGTGTTTCAGTAAGCGCCTACCATGTGCCAGGCGCTGCAGTAAGCGTCTTACAAACCGTGTCTCATTTGAGCCTCACCACAACCCTGGCAGGGAGGTGCTGTTAGTATTCCCATTCTTCAGTTGAGGAAACTGAGGCAATCAGAGGTTAAGTGACTTGCCCAGGGCCACACAGCTAGCATCTGAGGCCAGAATGAAACTCAGATCTGCCGGAGTCTAGGCCGTGTGCTCTATCCATTACATCCCCAGGGACTATAAGATTTGGCGCTATGAGGGTCCTAGTTGCTACCTTACTGACACCTTCATTTTTGAAAGGAGAGAACTGAGAGGAGAGCTCATTTGACAAGGTCACACACTTAGAACTCGGTTTCCAAAGTCTCCAGTCCTAAAAGGGGCTGATTGTTCTTGGCTGAGCACCTACCGGGACATGGATATTGGGATCTACACCCCAAAGCTCCTGACGAGCAGGGGCCAGGAGGCAGGTGCTGCTGTGGGCCCAGAGCCAGACTGGAGGCGGGGTCTGGGGAAGGCACAGACTCTGGAGCCAGACACTTTCCAACAAGAAGGCAGCGACTGTGGTCATCTCTTCATTGGGGCGTCATCCGCCTTGGCAGAAACCTTTCTAGTAGGAGAACAGGGACGCCCAGAGGCACACCCAAGATGCCACAGCTGGGAGGGTTTGGAGGGAACAGTAAGGAATAGGCTTATGGGGCTTAGAGGGGAAGGGACCTTCTGACCATCTGCCTTCCAGAGGGATCCAGAGGCTGAGTGCAGGCCCTCTCACACAGAGCTGTAGAGGTGGTGGTGGTGAGAACCTCATGGCTGGGACACAGAGGTTCTCAGCTGGCTTTGTCTCTGGAGAGCGCAGAGAACGAGAGCTCAGGGTCAGAGGCTGGGGGATCCTCAGTGGGAGCCTACCTCCTCGCTCTATGACTTATGACAAATCATTCAACCTCGACTATCTGAAAGTGACTCAATCCAACAATCATTCTTTAGGTGCCTATGAGGAGTTGAGGGTGCCAAGACAGGAACCAGAGAGGTCCTGCCCTTGTAGGACAGCAGGGCTCTGGTGAAATGTGAGGGTCCAAACACATGTGAGTGTATGGTTGTGGGTGTGTGTGAATGGTTTTTATCAGGGGATACTTTTAGGTAGGGTCAATGATGCTATAGAGTTAGGGACTGACCTGGGTTTG